CTCTACTATAAAACACACTTTATCCTAAACTTGTCAAACGCATGTGTGCTACAATGATCTGTCAAAATGTGTCAAAAATACAGGTATGGTTTGCACAAACGTAACATGCAGTAGGACAGGCACAGTTCTGCAGATGCTGCTTATATCACACACACCGAAGCAGCTCCTGAGCCGAATGTAGCTCCCTCCATTGATTTTCCATTAAATTCATTTGGCAAATGGACGTGGTTTAGTCTAAACGGCTCTAATCTCATCAGAGTTTGACTTTATAGTGTTGGGCGGTGCTCGCCCTGTCATCTTTCGAGAACCTCCCATGCCATGAAAACACAACGCAGTACAGAAATAATGGACTTGCCCCATCTGACGACGACTGGCGAACGAACAAACAATAAACCCCTGCACAGCGTCTGCAACAGACAGGCCAAACTAAAAAATAAGCGTAATGAAAATCTCGAAGTGCAGAAGGCCCGTTACGATGTAAACGTGTGATAAATCATGAGCTTTTAGCGGTTTTTGTCTGCCAGATCAGACAGCAGCTTTAAGCTTTTGAGAAGGAAATGAATCGACTGAGCACATCATTGTTCTTCATCACCCCACTGTAAGCTACTGTGCATCATAAGCATGGAAAAATGTGTGTGCGCAAGTCATTGTTCTATCCAATACTAAAGCTAACAAAATACCGCAGGTACGTTTACTGAATTATTAACGGAATGCTACCTTTGCGCAAGTCGCTCACCTGTCGTTGTACTGACAGCGGTGTTGACAGCGTTCTCCGCCATCTTCCTGGTCCACCGGCGGCTCTTCCAACCGCAATGTCACGGACAGCGCCGCAGCAAAACGCTACCCCCCAAAAACTCACGCCAAGAGAAACAGCATAGCCAGCTCCTTCCTGGACTGCCGCTGCGCTACCGAGACCCGATCTCAGCAGAATGCGCTCTGTGGCGCTATTGCAGATTGTTAGGTTTGCAGTGACGAATCGATTGTGAGGAAAGTTAGTCTCGCGCGGCGGTCAGGACTCAGGAGGAGTATTCTCACCAGCTGTCCGGTAAAGAGAGCACTAGCTAGCGGTTGAGGAGTCCAGATAGAGAGGCTGGACAGCGCAGTAGTGCTGAAACACCGAGTGACGTCATCCACATGGCCACGTCCACATGTTCACAACCCAAACTTTTCGAATTACACATTTAGGCGAACCAATTATTTAAGGAAAAAATATGAAATTCAGATCCAGTATAGGCTTAAGGCTTTCTATTTTCGACAAAGGGTCTTTTCATTTCCGCTGAATATCGTTTCCGTTTATGTATTACATATTAGAGAGAGAGAGAGAGAGAGAGAGAGAGATTTGTGGCCCACAAATATTATCAATGTTGAAAAATATATATGCAAATAGCTGATATATAGTTACATCGACGTGTTTTGCAAAAAAATCCAATCATACATTGTCTCTGCTTATCATATTCACGCGCTCTGCACGGTTTCAGTTTCAGAGTTAACGGAAAATAAACCGTAACGGCAAAAAGGTTAACTTTTTGCGTACATTTTTGTTAGGGGACTTAAAACATCCAAAACAGACATTTCGACATTTTTTCCAGATGGACAAGTTTGTAGCGTGCACTCGCTAGCTAGGCCTATATTCAATCCCGCTGACCTCATTAATATGCAAATAAAAATGGCGACTTTGGGATTTTAATTGTAACGAGGATTCGTGAACAATGTAAAACACGAAACACTTTTCCAGAATTAACTCCAAGTGTAAAAAGCCTAATTTACACTTCGAAATTGCTCAAAAATGGGTCAAAAGAAACATTTGGGCGCAATCAGTGACCCAAACACCAAACACTGCATCACAGGTATCTCGAAAGGACGTTTGAGGTTAATGCTAGATCTCGAAGGGTAGTGAATAACCGGTTCCTCTGTGGAGAAGGACCATGTGATGTGATGAAACGTGACAGTCCGATACAGCCAGAGGGGCAGCAGGACTGGCAGTAATGAGTCCAAATGAAATGGGTCAGTACGACTTCTCTTACAAAGCGACATGCTCTGACAGGGAGTCCAACAGTAGATAAGATCGACTCCAAACAGCATTGCTGCGTGACCAAAGGTCTAAAAAAAATCTACACAGAATTAGAAAACCTCTAATACTTATCGAGACTATTACCATTTTTAACCAGAATTTGTACACCTCAAGGTCAAGGACAGAAACGTCTACCTAAGGTTATGAATGTATGGGTTGTAAACAATTCATTATCAGGAAACAAAGAAATTGCCAACTAGTAGGCAACACTAACCACAAAACAACAAAACTAACAACAAAACAGGTTACTGCTACTTCCATTCCCTACAAACTGAGGGGACAACAACAAAAATAAAAATATATATTTTTATTTCAGGCACAGCAGAAATGCATGCAAATGCCATGAGGAAGAGACCGTGTAAAGGGAGAAAATAAAATACAAGAAATAATATGCAAGAGATAAAATTCAGTCCAAACAGATAAAAGGCTCGACCTTTTATTGTAAATTCTGGATTTCTTTGCATTTTAAATTCCACCACATACAGTGGAATACAATATAAATACTTTAAAATCGTAACAAAACTATGCAGTCTATCTTGTGTGGTTGTCATTAAATGTGAAAGAGAGCGATTTGTGTGACAGAATGCTCGGAGAAGGCTTGTAGTGAAATTACGTGGTGGAGAGAGAAACAGACAAGCAATAAGCCTCTGAGTGTTTCTCTGAAGGCCATTGCAGTAGGATATGGGGCATCAGTTATGCCCAAATTGCAATTTTTCCCCAACAAGGAAGTTTTCTCTCCTCTCAGTGTAAATAATATAACCCACCAGCAGTCCTGACTCAGATCTGTGGGAGAGGACAGAAACGAACACAAACACATCAAGGTATAGGTTCTCCCAAACACTTCAGTATGTTGTTTTAACCTTAAAAGAGGGGGACCAGATCAGTCAGACACAGTTAAAACATTCTGTTTCCTTAAAGTTACTGCTTATGCTTAATAGATCAATAATGCATATCTTCACTACCATTCAAAGGTTTGGGGTCAATAAGACTTTAAATGTTTCTTAATGTTGTCAAAGACTCTTATGCTGTACAATGCTACATTAAATTAATCAAAAAATGCAGTAAAAAGAGTAATATTGCTAAATATTATTAAAAAAAAAAAAATTTATCCGAATTTTCAGCAGCCATTACTCCAGTCTTTAGTGTCACATGATCCTTCAGAAATCATTCTAATATGCTGATTTGGTGCTCAAAAAACATTTCCTCTTCTTCTTCTTCTTCTTATTATTATTATTATCATTATCGACGCTGAAAGCAGTTATGCCTCTTAATATTTTTGTGAAAACGGTGATACATTTTTTTCTGGATTTTATAAAGTAGGAATCTTTTGTAACATTATACATTTCTTTACTGTCACTGTGCAATTTAACGTGTCCTTGCTGAATAGAAGTATTCATTTCTTGAAGTATTAATAAAAAAAAAAAACTAACTCACCCAAATTTTGAATATTAGTGTATATCAGTTTTATAGTATAATAGAAATAACTATACAGGCAATAGAAACTCAAATTCCAGCACTTCGATATTTGTAACTTGTATAAAAAAAAAGTCATAATCAAAACAATCAAACACTTACGTCATCAATGTCCTTATAATCACTCCCAATATCATCAAACTGAATCTCATCATCATCTCCAGGTCCAAATGTGTCAGTTTAATTGATTTTAGCTGCAGGAAAGAAATAAGAGTCTTTACTTGCATACATCTACATCATCTGACACTTACAATTGTGGGTGATTGTTTTAGTACCATGACATTTCCATAAAACATTTCCAGTAAACAGAAGTCAGAAACTGAGTAAGGCCAGTTTGAGACTCACCGTGTTCTGGAAGCTCTCCGTAGGCTTTAAGACTGCGGGCCTCATCTGCATTGTACTTTAAAATTATTTTTAAATGTAATTTATTTCTGTTATGGCAAAGCTGAATTTTCAGCATCATTACTCCAGTCTTCAGTGTCACATGATCCTTCAGAAATCATTCTAATATGCTGATTTGCTGCTCAAGTAATAGGTGTGTTAGATAAGACAGACATATAAAATGTGCAGAGCAATGAGGCCCACTGAGAACCACTGATTTAATGCATCCTTGCTGAATAAATATATTAATAATAAAAATTTTAAAAAACACCCCAAACCATTGTGCAAAAGTGATGTGGTGAAAATCATCATTTATTTGCACATATAGAGGGCCAAACTATTTCAACTACTTACCCTGGCCATCCTCCTTGAAAACCAGCTCTCTCTTTTCTGACTCGTTCTCGTTCTTACCACGCCGCCGATTTTTACCTCCTTTACCTAAAGAAATGAAATAAGGACTCTTAATTATCTTGAATGTAATAAACAGATATTAAATCTTCCCATATATTTCAGTTCCTTCTCTCATCCATGATATCACCTTTTCTAAAAGCTACAATCCAAAATGTTCAATTCAATTCAAATGAAAAAGATTCCAATAGACACTTGTACAACTATTTACAGACACGTGACACACTGTACATGTAGTAAAAGGGATATAGGGATAGGGGCTGATAGGGATTCATTTTATCTCTAAATATTCACTTTAACTCTATAAAGCCTACTGTATCATATTTCATGCAAGAATGATGCATTCCTTGTGCCATCTGATTGATAGTTTATACTTTTTTAGTAAAAGGCCTTTTAGTATAATTCTAAATATGTCCCCCTCCAGGTTGTGGTACATGTGTCTTTTTGCTATGAAAACTTAAAACACAAATAACTTTTATGTTTGATGAACATTTACTGGACTGAAGCAACTTAGGTTTACTTGATGATCCAGCTACAGGCTTTTAAATAATAATAATAATAATAAATTCATATATATATACACACATATACATATATATACATACATATTCCTCTCCCTTTTTTTGAAGACTTCCGATTAAGCAATAATCTACGCCTGCGCAAAACCTGATTTTACATAAAAACTTTATTTATAGTCTCAGACACAATTTCATTGGAATACAAAGCGCCAGAACATGTTCATTGAGGACAATACATTTTCAAGGTTTCAATGCTGATGAGTAATTCTAAGAAAAACAAAAAACTGTTTTGCAATATTTATTTTACTTAATCAGAAACATTAATTTTAACACAGGAATAAAAACCTGCTCTCCCAAGTACAAATGTGCTGGGAAAAAAAATACATGGCCAGTGATATATAATAGAGGCCAGGAGAGACCACTAGGACATATTTCTCACTTGCACTGTTATTATTAAAATACAGCAGCAACAAAAAAAAAGGAGAAGTTTGACTAATTCATGTAAATTAATTCCAGAACAAGAGGACGCCGCCTGTGGCCAGACTCTCACCAAACATGTAGCCTCACATAGTCATACATATACATTAACATTAAAAAAAATAACAGTTCATCCCCCAGTATAAAAATAATACATTCTGAATAGTCTTTAAAATTATGATTGAGAAAATTGGAACAATCTTGGTTAATATAGCCTGCATATATCCCTTTAATTTCATGAAGAGAATGAACAAAGAAATACAAACAGTGGAGTGTTACGAATCACTTTAGAGTAAGACAGCAGTATACTGGTCATTCCCAGTAAAAAAAAACAAAACACCTGCCATTATATAGCCATATAACATCAGCTCCTATGTAATGTTACCATATCCATTATGAAAGATAATTATACAAGTTCTGATGATTAGCTCTTATATGAAGGGTATTGGTCTGCTGGAGAGGAAGAAGATTTGAAGGATGAGGTCACTATTTGGATTGCTTTTTTTGCTAATCAGATGCCCTTTAAGACACATGTGCATGACAAAGGGTTTTTGGACCACTTTGCCCAATTAAAACACTATATCAACACAAAATACTTGGTTTGTGACAAACACACTACATTTCTAGGGACATGCAATGATGATTGTACATTTACTTGCATAGTTCTCTTTGATTTCACAAATGGTTTCAACACTGCACCATGTTTAAACACCATCTGAAGTTGCATATAGTGGCATTACTGACTGGCAGCTCTTTCTTTTAAAAGGAAATGAGTAGGCCATTTCAGCATGTGAGGTCTGTCTTGAAGAGGATGGGCACAGTTATGATCAGATAATGACGCTAGCAATAGTACAGTTCCATGCAGTCGCCAGACATGGCATCATTACCACACAATACAGAAAACAAACGGTGTATCACAGTCTCTTAACATCATACACCTTATCTCTACACAGACTGACGGAAATACTTTTATATTCATATATAATTCCATATGAAGTACATTTCAAGGGTATTTTCATAAAACAATTGTACATGAATTTAATATTCTCCTAAGAGCTTTCTATAATATTTTACATGATGAAGTAGAGATGATGAATGACAAGAACTAAAAAAAAGTGTTGTTTTTTTTGGTTTGGGCTGCCATTCCATGACGACAGTAGAACAGCCATACATCTCACAAATTTATGTGCTATTTGTAGTTTAGGGTTAGATCTGAGTGGTCACAGGGCAGTAGAGGTCAGCTTTTTGACACCACGGCGCTGAGCGAGTGTGGAGCAACCCACGGGCTCCAGTACAGCAGAAACATTTCTGTTTAAGGCTGAATAGGTGGCTGCCATTGCTCCCTGTGATAAAAGGGAAAAATATTAATAAGAATATAGTCAAACATAAGCATTAAGTATTATAATGATAATGATAATGCAGGAATGTTGAGCTGACAAGGAAACCCATGATTCAGTTTCGGAACCATTTGTTAGTTTCACATTTGAAACTGTTATTGCAAAGGAAACCTTCACTAGATGAGGCGCGTCATGGCGGTTGAGTTGGTATTTTGGTAGCTGGTCCTTGTTGACTATCCATGGGTGACGAAGAACTTGAGCAGCAGTCAATCTCTTATGAGGATCAACATGAAGCATCTTTGATACCAGGTCCTGTCAACAAAAAGGTTAGAAGATTGTACATCAAATACTGTACATAGATCGATTAGGCTAAGGAAGTGTTGTAAACAAAAGGAGAGCCTTCAACCTTAGCCTCAAACGATACAGAATTCCAATATCCTCCAGAGAGGGAGAATTTCCCACTGCCGATCCGAGCCAGAATCTCTTCCGGCGTATCTTCCGGGCCATTAGCAAATGGAGTGAACCTGAAGGATGGATACGAGTGGCGAGTTTTCAAACTGACATGAATATTGTTTTTGAACTAAATCATGCTACATCATCCATACGCAACATTAACTGTATTAAGAAAATTGCATGCAGAAAGTCTGACTTGTATTGTGTGTTAATTTACCCTGTAAGCATGGTATAAAGGAGAACTCCAAGACTCCAGATATCACAAGCTGCATCATAGCCTTGCTTCTTCAGGACCTGAGTGGGTAACACAAACATAAATAATAACAAGAGTGTTGAAAATAACTTACAAAAATATAATATAATATATCTAGTCTCTCATCTAAAACAAATCAACAGGTACCTCTGGAGCAACAAAGTTAGCAGTGTAGCATGGTGTCATCAGCAGTCCATTTTCTGCTCTGAGTTGTTTGGCAAAACCAAAATCACAGATCCTGATTGATTCTGGGTTGCCCGATTCATCCACATACAGTATATTACTGGGCTTTAGGTCTCTGTGTACTACCTGCAACCACAGTGCCAATCTATTAGCCATAATAAATATACATTATAAACATACAACCCATACAAGTTTTAATGGGTTGTAAAAGTGATGGTGCATGACTTTTAAAGGATTAGTTCAATTCCAGAATAAAAATTTCCTGATAATTTACTCACCCCCATGTCATCCAAGATGTTCATGTCTTTCTGTCTTCAGTCGCAAAGAAATTAAGGTCTTTGAGGAAAACATTCCAGGATTTTTCTCCACATAATGGACTTAAATGGTGGCCAACGGGTTGAAGGTCTAACCTGGTTTCAAGCGGAATAAGGGTCTTATCTAGTGAAACGATTGGTCATTTTCTAAAATAAATTAAAATGTATATACTTTTTAACCACAAATGCACGTCTTGCACTAGCTCCGCGATGCGAATCCGCAAATTCAAGCATTACATAATCACGTTGCAAAGGTCATGTGCGGTTAGCTCTCTGTCTGTGTACTCCAGATCAAAAAGGTAGGGTAGGGCGAAAAACTCCATCTGGTTTTTACCTTTTTTTGTAAAGGGCATTTTACTTTTTTTGCGCATTGGCTTTGTAAACACTGGGTTGGTACTTCTGCCTACGTCACACGTGACCTTTCCAATGTGACTACGTAAGAAGTCGAGCTAGTGCAAGACAAGCATTTGTGGTTAAAAAGTATATATATACATTTTTTTTTTAAGAAAATTACACATCGTTTCACTAGACAAGAGCTGGGATTACTCAGCTGGGATCGTGTAGAGCCCTTTGAAGCTGCATTGAAACGGCAATTTAGACCTTCAGCCCGTTGACCACCATTGAAGTCCATTATATGGAGAAAAATCCTAGAATGTTTTCCTCAAAAACCTTAGTTTCTTTGCGACTAAATAAAAAAAGACAAACATCTTGAATGACATGGGGTGAGTAAATTATCAGGAATTATTTATTCTGGACGTGAGCTAATCCTTTAAGGCATACTAAAAGAATATTTAAATGGTCTAACAGTGTATTTATTTATGCTGGCTAAATTAAATAATCAGTAATGTTTGCTGTGTGTGAATGTGTGTGAGAATGCTCATACCCCTTGGGCATGCAGATATTCAACAGTCTTTGTAATGGTGTGCAGGACAGCACTGGCCTCTCTCTCAGAGAAAAACTTTTGTCGGAGGATTTTATCCAGTAGTTCTCCGCCTTTCAACAACTCTGTGACCAGGTACACCGACAGCCCATCATCAAACACCTATAAACACACAAAGACTCAGAATAACGGGAGACAACACCTGGGACATTCCAGTTCTAAGTGATCTACAGGCACACAAACAAACATCACTCACATCTTTCAGAGTGATGATGTTGGGATGTTGTCCATAACGCAGCAGAATCTCAACCTCCTCTGCTGGATCTCTCCTATCCTTACTGATAATCTGCAATCCAATCAGAACCATTGAGACTAAATGCAGACTTGGTGAATCTTTTACAATCGTACCGCCCCTAAACTTTTGAATGTTGCTGCATACATATTGAAAAACCAATGAATATATTAATACACCTCTTTTACAACTGACATAGCAATTAGAACTGCCAACACACCTTTCTATAAAACTATAAGCACCATAAAGATATCAGTAACAACACAGATGTAGAGGTCTATTTACCTTGACTGCATAGTCCACGCCTGTGCTCTTGTGCACACAGCGCTTGCAGATGGAATAGGAGCCCACGCCAATGTCTTCTTTAACATCATATACATCTGTGAACTGAAGCGTGCTCCGGTGGGGTTGCTGTATAACATACATGCATACACTTTATTCCCATGTGTACTGATATTGCAGGTGTGAGAGAGGAGGAGTGTGTGAATGATGCAACGATACCTGCAGTATGCTGCTCATGTTGAGGTTGCTCTGAATGGGCGGCTGGCTCTCCTCTTCTACTCCAGAGGCAACAAAGCTAAACCCTCGGAAGAGCTGATGGGCATTGGCACTTGGAGGGACACCAGGAGAATCTGGGTCAAAAGAAAAAGTAAAGTGAGTACCAACAGATTATTGTGATTAGAAATGCATCTACTGTTAGGGAAAGTGAATATTGGCATTACATACCTCGTGGGGTTTTGGCAGTGAACTCTGAGTCAAAGTACAATGTGTCATCTGGCCTCTGGATGACCGGTTTAAAGGGAGGATACACTTCCTTTCTATATAATTTCTAGAGAGGAAAAATACTAGATGAATTATTTTTTTTAACTAAAGCCATAAAAATTAGGAGCGCACTGATATTACAATTAAGGCTGATACTGATACGCCAATAATTATTTTCATGCTAACCAAGAGCTTGTAACACTCCAAAGAGAAAGGAAAAATTTAAATCGCATCATATGACCCCTTTAAATAGTAAATATTGAAATTCTATACTATTTTGTCTAAATAAATAAAAAAGATAACATTAAAATCGTTTTCAATTTAGGCATCACAACATTACAAAGTACAGTATGAAAACTGGATATTCATTTTGATTTTATTAAATTATAAATGCTTTAAAGATTAACTTTGTGAACAGTTGATGACAGCAAAGTTAATCTAAATGTAAAAATAGAGGAAATGCACATGCGCAATTAGATATCCAAATCTGGCTAAAATCTAACCAATATTGACTAAGACGGATAGATGAAAAAGCCTCTAATCATAGGGGCAGTATGAGGATGATTAGATGATTTTTTTTTTTTTGGACTCGTTTCTGTGATTCATACATTTTTCTTAAAAACTTACATTCCAGTCAATGGTGCTGAAGAATGAATGTCTTTTGATCTCTTCTACTCCATCAGGCCCAGCTCCTGAAATTCCAACCCCAACATTCAATGAACAGACACAAATTCACTCAGCATGAACAACCTGGGGCCGGATTCACGAAAATCTTCTTAAGAAATAAGTTGAGAAATTTCTTAAGATAAATTCCACAAAGTTCGTAAGAATGTTCTTAAGTGCAATTCTTGAAAAATTCTTAAGTTCTCAAATATATTCTTAAGAACATCTTAATTTTTTTCTTAAGAAGAAAATAACAGTCGTTATCAGAGTGAATACATGACGCACTGATAAACTCACACTTTGTCTTTTTGCGCTTCCTGCAGATTACCCTAATAATCTTAATAAGCACACACATTATTTTCATCGTGAGTTTGACTGGCACTCAGCTTCACGTGTTTAATGCGCCGTGTTTTTGAACAGTTACTTTTAAAAAATAGCCTGTCTCAAGCTGCGATATGTTTCATTCATTTTTGTGCTGTGTTTTGCGCTCTCATCCGAGTGGACGCTTCCGGTATGTGTGTCCGCGCTGCTACAGCAAACGCGTCCTGTTCAGCGTCAAAGTCAGCAAAAAGTAGCGTCACACATAGGCTAATCATGATTCATGACCGATCATTGTTTACATTATCAGTCATTGCTGTCACTTCAGAAAACTCGTGCACATCCCTATTAATAGTCCTACTATGTATTATATGTAGCTAGTGTTGTTGTAATGCTTAAATATAACAATTTATTTGAAATAACCCAATAAATTAATTAAATTATTCTTACTGTTTGGGATTTAAGACAAGTCTGGGGCTGTCCTAAATTTAAGAAGTTATTTACGATGTTTCATGAATCCGGCCCCTGTTCTGGCAAACTAGTTGAAAATGAGCTTTCCTCACCCAAGCGGTTGCCAAGAAGATTCTTTTCAAGAATTTGAATTCTTCTCAAGTTTTGTCTTAAGAACAATCTTAAGAAAAAAGATAAGAATATTCTTAAAATTAATTTTTTGGGAATACAACATATTCTTAACTTTTTTCTTAAGTTAAAAAATAAAGAAGAAAATGGCAGTTAAGAAGAAATTTCTTTTTAAGAATGTTTCATGAATCCGGCCCGTTCTGGCAAACTAGTTGAAAATGAGCTTTCCTCACCCAAGCGGTTGTTGGGATTCCTCTTGAACAAATTGCGGAGCAGAGATTGGGCCTCTGGGCTAAGAAACTGGGGCATGCCCAGCTTTGCCCTAGAGACACAGAAACCAATGTCAGTGCAAAGACTCAGTTATGAAGATCAGTATTTTGAGTATTTTGACTCACTTTAAGATCATTGTCATGGTCTCTTTTCGATCTTTCCCTTGGAATGGAAGCGTTCCAGTCAGCATTTCAAACTGATGAGGTAGAAATACATAATCACTGCACTGTAACACAAATATTACAATATACAAATATCACGTTAACCCTCTTACCATTAGCACACCGTAGGACCACCAATCAGCACTGTGAGTGTGACCTCTGCGGTTGACAACCTCTGGAGCCATATATTCCACCGTACCACAGAACGAATATGCCTTGTTCTCATCATCAATGGACTCTTTACTCAACCCAAAGTCTTAAAAACACAAAGACACAACTAATCGAATACATACTAACACCTATCATTGTGAGATTCTCACAAAATGTTCAAAAAGAACAAATCTGAAACTACAACTTGAGTTCACTCAAGATTGTTATATACCATGTTATCATTATTAGTGATAAAACACATACCTGTAAGTTTGATGTGTCCATCATTATCCAAAAGAATACTGAAAGAAATTCACATTTATTCACTTATGAAAATGTGCACTGCATTGGGTTAGTCAAAGTGTGATTATTATCTAATATGTAGAAAATCAGTTTAAATATTTTTACTAGTAACTAATGTGTTCCCAAACATGTAGTTACTATGCACTTTGCTGTTGTACTTTGAGCCAACACACCTCACATTTTACTTAATACGTGGGTGAGAAGCATACTTTTCTGGTTTGAGATCTCTGTAGATGATTCCCAGTCCATGTAAATGGTCCAAGGCCAAAGCCAGCTCTGCAAGGTAGAACTTTACATCTTCCTCTGTAAACATCACCTACATAAAGACATGAAAGAGAAGTAAAAGAATTAGCTGAACTTCATCTATTCTTACACAAGAATCAATAACATTTTTAATATATATATAAAATTAGAAAACAGTTGTTTTAAATTGTAATAATATTTCAAGGTATTACTGTTTTTACTGTAGGTTTAATTACATAAATGCAGCCTCGGTGAGCATAAGAGACTTCTTTCAAAAACTTTTTTTTTTTAATCTTAAACAGTAGTGTATGTGTTGGATTTATCCTTAGACACGTAGTTCACCTCTTTGGACAGGCGAGTGAAGAGATCTCCTCCTCTGAGAAAGTCCAGAATCAGATAGAGTTTGCCTTCTGTCTGAAACGCTGAGGAATCAAAATTAAAGATTCAAGAAGAAGTTGTACTGTAAGTTCAATTAAAGTTCAAGAGAAGTGCACAACCATGAAGTGTAAGAATCTGATTGGTGATGGGATGTCAGTAACTCACCATAGTGCAGTTTAACAATAAAAGGATGATTGACCTCAACTAGGATGTCTCTCTCCAACTTTGTACGCATTCGATCTCGTACTGAAACCACACATACCCAAACAAAACAAACATTAGAAAAACGTCCTTTTTCATTTTTTACAAGTTCAATAATAATGCACTGGCAGCAAATATTTTTAAAGAAAATGCCAACACATAAAACACACCTTTCAGCGTAGCTTTCTTTAGCACTTTCATAGCATAGAGCTGTCCTGCATCGGGCCCAGTTATCTTCTTGACCAGAAACACCTTCAGAAACACGAACCGTTATTTATTAAAAACCAACAGAATGATTCTTCTGCATGTAAACACAATAATAAAAACGAATCATGCTCTCATATCTGAGCAGTTCACCTTGCCAAAAGAGCCCTGGCCCAGCACCTTGCAGAGTTCAAACTGTTGTGTGTCTGCTTTTTCCGAGCCTTCCTTGACATGGTGAGTGATGCTGATTTCCTTGACCAAGCCTTCATCCTATGAAGGAGACATTCGATGTATGAGGATGCTTGTGTTGCGTCATCACCAAAACATGCAATACAACACCAAACCAGCATTCACAGAACACGTCTCTTCTTCTGTCCTTTTAAAAACAGTCATCACAGCAGTGTAACTAAAAAAAAAAAAATCAATACAAAAAACAATTGTCAAAACACACCATCACTTCAACACATCAATACAAACTCATGCCCAAAAAAGGTCTGAGAGTCAAGCAAACACACACACACACACAGTGAGAGAGGATGTTAAATAGAAGCCTGGACAGATGTTGTCTCTGCAGAGGAGCACCGTGCCAAAGCCTGTAGGAGGAGAGAGAGAATAAACACCACAAACAAGCAGCAGAGGGTATAAACCAGGCCCATCTGAATAACTGAATAAATAACTGACCGAATACCCACATCTGAGCAGAAGACGAGAGTAAAAGTGCTGTCAGGATCATCCAACTTTGGACGCTAAAATAATAATTAATGATAATATGTATTAGATAGAGCTAAGAGTTCAAAACTCAAATTCATCTCATTTATCTCCTCCTCCTTCCCCTCCCTTTCTCTCTCTTATAACATACAGTTGAATGGAAAACAGGGTGGTAGTGACTTAAAATCTAGTCATACACACAGAGTTTGATCAATAAATCACACACACCAGTCTGCCAATATGAATAAGACTGAATGGTGGATGATATCTGATATTCTATTGATGGTGGAAAAAGACCACAGACGTCAATATCCACCACAGAGGTCAAAATAGGCATAATAGTTAGAAGCTCATCAAATGACAGACAATGTCATTCGTTTCATAAACATGGAAGTCAAACAAGGTAGTTTTATTGAGAGTATACGGATAAACTCAATACATCATGCATGTTAGCATGGCTGTAACACTGTATTGACCAATCAGCATCCAGGACCAGAATTATCCATTTCAAAATTTCCCTGTGCCAAACAAGCGGGCACAGCGCTTCTGAAGTGGAATTTGGGTGTTTTTGCACAGACTGTGTAATGCTGCTCAGAGGTTGCATAAATGCGTTTACACAGCCATATACAACTGTATATTTTGATACTGAGGTGGGTCACAGCAGGAATGATTCAGTTTGGCTTTTATGCAGCATTGTGTTTTTACAGTGAATTAGAGCAAGAACAGAGCAGCCTTGACTTGCCTGTGTAAAGATGCATTAAAGGGATAGTTCACCCAAAACTGAAAATTTTATACACTACTGTTCAAAAGTTTGGGGTCAGCAAGTATTTTGTTGTTGTTTGTTTGTTTGTTTTTTTTAAAGAAATAATTTTGTTTAGTAAAGACACAGTAAAGACTTTAACATTGTTACAAAAAATGTTTTCAAATAAATGCTGTTCTTTTGAACTTTCTATCCATCAAAGAATCATGAAAAGAAAAATGTATCACGGTTTTTAATGTATAACTGTTTTTAACACTGATGATAATAATAAAAAATGTTTCTGTATCACCAAATCAGAATATTAGAATGATTTCTGAAGGATCATGTGACACTGAAGACTGGAGTAACGGCTGCTGAAAATTCAGGTTTGCCATCACAGAAATAAATTACATTTTAAAATATATTCAAATACAAAATAGTTCTTTTGCATTTTAACAATATTACTGTTTTACTGCATTTTTAAATCTAATATGCATCTAATCCATCTAAAAAATGCAGCCTTGGTGAACAAAAGTATTATAAAAAATAAAAAATAAACATATTTAAAAAAATACTTACAAAAAAATCTTACCAACCCAAAACTTTTAAATTGTAGTGTACATATAAATATATGTGTGTGTGTGTGTGTGTGTGTGTGTGTAAAGTGAGTGAACCCACTGCTCTGGGTCACATCAAATGATCTCTGATAGCTTTCAAAAAAGTTTCTGCTGGTTTGGTGGAAAATGAAGCTCTGCTTGAAGTGAATGCTGAACATCCTCTTCTCCTACTGGCGGCTTGCCATGTCACTCATCCAACAGGAAACCAATAAAACCAGGCTGTACTCTGAGACAGGAAATGTGATGTTAAAAGCCGACTTGCTTACATAGGAAACACATCTTTCAATTGAAAGACAGAGGGGCATTGCATTAGAACAAATTCTCCTTAAGCAGTGAACGAAGAGCTTGTTTGATGAACTGCTAGAAACCCATATAAACTTGAACTGGTGTACTTGAACCTGTCAACATAATTTGACTCAGTTTGACAGACATATTCTGTAGACACACACCCAAAATACATATATACATAGTCTTAAACTTACTTGAACAGAAGCATCATCATCCACCATGGAGTCATCCTAAAAAACAGGAAAAATATGATGTAATTACCATAAAACAGAGTACATCATGTTACGTCATGTTAGTATTACAACAGCATTTGCAAGGGCTATGATCACAACATGTCAACAATAACCAAAAAACATAAAGTGGTCTTCAGGAACAGGAAAGATGTACAGGAAATCACAAATACAGTCTAAGTTAAGAAGGTTTATTTTTAAATGACTGTTGCAAACCTCTATTATTGTAATTTGTAAATATAATGGCTCCATGAGGGATAATGACTATGTGCAAAGTAGGGCTGTGCGATTAATCGAAATCGTCATAAAATCGCGATTTGAGCTTGCGCGATTTCTAAATCGCTTTATAGCACGATTTTCCGCGCCCCCGACCTCCCGCAGTATGCTATCCGAACCAATCAGAATGCAGCACGCCTAAATGGAGCACGAGAACAGAACAGACCGGGCGGGCATACAAACGTAACGCCAGGTTCACGCACTCCGTCTGTGGTGCGTATTTTGTCCGTATGGTGTTCGGACGGATTCTTTAATATGACGTTGCAACATGCACTCGTCTCACTGAACGTGACGTCTGCGTCTGCCGAACGTGACGTCTGCGTCTGCCACATGTTCGTCTGCCTGAACGTGACATTGCATAGCAAGAGCAAAAATTGCACAAAATACACCTCATAATTGTGCATTGGCTGACACACTGCACTGAGCCGTGTGAGCAGCGTGTTATGATACGCGTTAGCAACATTTTTTTTAAAAACTTCACTGCTACACGTGAATCACGCGTGACGTCTGGCTCGACACTTCACTGCCACACGTGATTTACGTGACGTCCGCGTGATGTCTACGTCACGTCTACGCCTCGTCTGCGTCTTAAAATTAATGGATTAAATAGCAAAAACATTTTTAAAAATTAAGACGTCAGTGAGCCGTTCAGTGAGACGAGTGCATGTTGCAACGTCATATTAAAGAATCCGTCCGAACGCCATAGAGTCCGTGCTGCTTCTGCACCTCATACACATACTGTATACGCACTGCAGACGGAGTACGTGTGAACTTGGCGCAACAAATCTAGTTCAACATCTGAGGCAACGCCACAAAGAGCTGTATGACCAATGCATGGCAAAAAAAATCCCTGGACACGGGCTTTTTTTTTCTTTTTCTGCCATATATGTCTATTCTAGAGACATTTTGTTACACCTTTACTTAGTGATTATTTTGCCTTATGTCTGTTCTAGAGACATGTTACAGCTTCTTGATAAAGCTCTAATTGGTTTTCTTTTGGAAATATGTTTCAAATTCACACTGAATGCATTTATGACTGTAAAGCATGTCTGTGTGTGTCAAAATCGTGATTAAAATTGAAATCGCAAAATTGATCAAGAAATCGCGATAGTTTTTTTTGTCCATATCGCACAGCCCTAGTGCAAAGTCAAATCATCTGACCATGTGTTGACATAAGAGTAAAATAGCAGTGTGGAAGATTGTTGTTTACATACAGTCACAGACTAAGTGATTATTTATAGGTCCACACATAAACAGGAAACTAAAAGAAAGCAGCATAGGATGGCTATTTTCAGACCACGGGATTAGCCAGGATCAAAGGGAAGTTAATTAGGGAAAGAGTACGACGGGATAGAGTGCTAACAGTGTAAGAGAGACAATACCAGTTACTATTTAGAAACTCAGATGACATATTCATCCTAAAGGCAACAGCACGTGTAATCGTCCCCTGGAGTAAGCATGGATTTGGAGCCATACTGAAAGTTATATAATCATAATAATATATACTCTAAATTAGTGTTGTCACGGTACCAAAATTTCAGTATTCGGTACCAATACCAGTGAAAATCCACGGTTCTCTGTACCAATTTCGGTACCAAAGCAAAACACAAAAACATGCTAATTGACCAAACTGTGTTCATATTTAATTTTAAAGGGCTTTTAAAACCTGCTAGAGATATTCAGCCACGAATTACAACTAACTAACTAAAAATAAAATAAACAAAATGTTTTTCTGACGGACTGATATGACAAACACTATATGACCTTACCTGCTTGAACTTGATCGGGGTGTTTTGTTAGTTTGATGCGTTTCCTCCTCTTGAGGTCGCCACTGCTTTTATGAAGAGGTTGCCAGGTTTTCACAACAAAACCCGCCCAATCGCATTTTGAGGGGGTCCCCCGTTAAAAATCGGGTTCCAATGATAAAATACGCATGTTTTGGCGGGGTTCCCCTGGTAAAATTCGCATTCCAGGGGCTAAATATCACGTTAGTGGGGTCATTTTTCAACCCGCGGACATGAAAAACAACCCGCGGCAACAGTGTTTAAGCAGCCCAATTCTGCGGGAAAACTGCGGACTTGGCAACTTGGAAGAGGATAGCTTTCTGATAGCGCATCAAGAACCGGGTTGACCGGGTACTCGGTACCACCGGTACTTAAGAAAACCTGGTACCATAACGTTTTCATTTTTTTAGTACCGACTTGGTACCGAAATACCGGGTCTTTTGACAACACTACTCTAAATAGTTTATGGATCATCACTAGAGTGGTTTGAAAACCATTAGATCATTTGGTTCTGATATATTTAATACACAAATTGTATCTTTTTGCATGACATATCTGTTTAATATTATACAAGCAGTTTTAGAATTTAATCTACTCTCTTTTTAAAGTTGAATAGAACTCTGCACTGTAAATTTTTCAATACACTGAATATTCATACAGTATGCACACTACTGTTCAAAAGTTTGGGGCAGTAAGATTTTTTTATGTTTTTTTAAAGAAGTCTGTTAAGGCTGCATTATTACAGTAAAACAGTAATACTGTAAATTATTATTACAATAACTGCTTTCCATTTGAATACATTTTAAAATGTAATTTACTCCTGTGATGACAAAGCTGAATTTTCAGCAGCCATTACTTAAGTCTTCAGTGCCAGAAAGCATTTTAATGCTGATTTGGATAATATCCACAGTTCTATGTATTTTAATTTAGGATTAGTAGGGCCATTTAATTAAATGGTATATTTAATATCTCATCCAGATAATTTCACAGTAAAAAAGGAAAAAATATTAAAATGTAATCCACAGACAGAAACATACAAGCCTGCAGGGAAAATAGTGAAAGTCTAATTTGATTCCGATTAGAGCAGAACAGCCAGCACAGCTCCAGAATGCAAAAATGCAGTTGTTTCATAATCTAAAGCCCTATTCGCACGGGATTAGTATTGCCTGGTGACCTCCAGTCATTTGTAGCGAGAGAGAGAGAGAGAGCGAGAGAGAGATAGTGCGAGAGAGAGAGAGCGAGAGAGAGATAGTGCGAGAGAGAGAGAGCGAGAGAGAGAGCACAAGAGAGAGAGAGAGCGAGAGAGAGAGAGAGAGAGAGAGAGCGAGAGAGCGAGAGAGAGAGTGAGCGAGAGAGAGGGGGTCACATCCCAGTGGAGTCAGCTGTCTTAACCGTGGCTTGTGTACTGCAAACACATACCAGCTTCATCACTGTGTCTGTCACGCGACTCTGTTCCCCTTTCGGGCTCTGTCTTTACATTTATTTTGAAAGATGAAGCTCGTGATTATGGTAAGGGGCGTTACATTTCCGACGAGTGCTTGCGGTGTTCGGCCAATCACAATGCACTGGGTCAGCTGGCCAATCAGAGCAGACTGCGCTTGTCGGAAGGAGGGACTTTGTAGAAAACGAAGCGTTTGAGAGAGGCGGGGCCTAGAGGACCTACAATAATGTACAGTATTTTAAAAATAATGTGTTTTTTGAACATTAAAGCATGTCAACATATTCTGTTACACCAAATACACAAAATAATGATCTTTAAAACAAGCATCATATGACCACTTTAATCCCGTGCGAATCGGCCATGTCTGTAATTTGTAAAGTAAAAATTCCCCCGCAAATGACCTACCATATTTCGCCGAACACCCAGGTCCTGTGCTAATACGAGTCCCGTGCGAATCGGCATCTCTGTGATTTGGCCTGCATTTGGCGGGTCGTATATCGTTTTTCGAGGTTTTTGTTTGCTGTGCGCCTTTTTATCCATCTTTCGCTAAGAATGGAGCTGTGTTGGAGTGTTTGATAGTATTTTGGGTGCTGTCATCATATCGCTACACCATACAATTTGCAGAAAGAGAAAGCTGAGAAGGTTTTGAGGTTAATGTGTTTGTCTGATAGTATTTTGGGTGCTGTTATATTGCTACACCATACAATTTGTAGAAAGAAAAGGCTGAAAAGGTTTTGAGGTTAATGTGTTACAAATAAATCAAGCATAAAGCTTTAGATACTATTTTAACCTGGTGAAATGTAAATGTCACAGGGCACGAAACTATATTCTTTTCTTTTTTTTAATCCATCTGGACCATAGAACGGGACTCTCGAAGCCTTGACATCCGGGTATCCGGTAGATAAGTCAGTAAATTCGAGTAAAATCACTGGCTTCGCTTATCCCGTGCGAATGCACCACACGAAATTCAGAGGTGGGGGGTTAATTTCAAAATCACACAAGGTCCCCAAATACTAATCCCGTGCGAATAGGGTTTAAATTACACACTGGCCGTGACTCAAAACCTAATGGGCCGTCTACCTACATAGACAGTATTTGGGGGGCATCATAATCTTATATTTTGCACATTTATGGCATTTTTTGGCACGCCTGTGACGCCCAAAAATGCTGTCTATGTATGTTGAGAGCTCACTGGGTTTTGAGAAAATGCCTGTCAGTCAGTCTATAAAACGTTAGTTCCCCACCCTGTAGTTATTGCCCAATGTGTAAGTTACTTAAGACAAACTTCAACCAGCTACAAAAAGCAAGCAAGTGTCCATTTTAAGTAACAATGAACAAGTAACGTTAAACTTGCATCGAACAGACACCCACCCACACACTCGTACTGGGCTTGTCTGGTCAAGTCTTGTTTCGACGGCTTACACATTCTCCATCTTTACCAAGTAACTTAACTAGGCACTTTGGTCCAAAGAAATGTCTAAGTTAACATTTAAAAGAAACACGTCATATCGCTTTTAATACTTCGTTGCATTTTAATGTCGACTTATAACTATGAAGCACGCACTTTTTTGTATTTCAGTTATGAGTTTGAAAAGTAGCGAAACTCAAAAGCGTAAACCTTTTGTTTGAATACAGCGTTTGCAAATTGTAAACTAGTAGTCCAAGTATGCACTTCAAGACTGTCCACTGAAATTCCTCCGTGGCACGAAGTATCGGATTAAATGTTATCTCACACAATCACCGCGTAACAACACTCCTTGATTAAACGTAACATAACCTACCTCATTCTCCATATGCCCCACCGGCAACTTCTGCCAGGGGTCTGCAAACTGCGCCAGCGGCATCTTCAAGTCCCGATCTATAACTTACGATCAACCACCGTGAAGTGATTTGACGCTGTCAGTCAGTGTTAAGCTGCACTAAAACAGTCCCACAGAGAGGATGTTCCCTAACTGACGCGTAAATAAAAGAAGAATTCAGTTCAGTTGCCTTCTGGGTAGCTTTTTACTTCTAAAGTGTCCGGTTCCTCTTGACAAAAATTCAAAAGATGTTTTTAACAGCAGAGGAATACACTTCCGTTTTCGCTCAACATGGCGTCGTCGCCCCGTTCGTTCACCTGTCTGTCAGAACGAGGCTGGAGGAAACGTCACCATGCGTCATAGAGCGAGGGACGCTGTGGCCACACCCACTTTTTACAGTCTATGTACAGTACGTGACATGGGTCCTCAGGTAGTTTAATTTGGTCAAGGAATGATATCTTGAGATATTAAATGTATTTTTCATATCGCCTATTCAGAGTCTTTATCATCTCTGCTGCTTTTTGTACAAGGCAGTCTGAATCACATTGGAGGATCCTCGGTTGTGCTTCATTTCTGATTATGTAGAACATAAATCCTTTGATCATCAAATCTGTTTAACTCTCTTTTCCCTGCGTAGCATCCACATGTTTTGATCTATTGAGTCCTCCATAAGAAAAACACACACATGTTGCACTTTTTTAATAAATGAAATGCACAAGCAAAAAAACTGCAGATGGAGGGAAATCACAACAGCACAGCTGATAAAAACTCATCCAGCAGTCCCAGAGGGCTTAGAAAAAAGCTGATTGTGCTTTAATCCTACAAATAAAGAGCTCATTTCTTGCTCACATGCCACATTAATGGGAAATATTTAATTATTTGTTATGGTCCCCTCAGTATTAATAGCTGCGTGAGCTCCCCGATTCATGCTGTCTTCAACCTTGTAAAGCCTAACATAAAAAAATAATAGTAAGACATTTTTTTTTTAATTGAAGAGTTTAATGAAGAGTTCAATTTAGACAAGACATATGCATTTAAAAATAGTTTGCATATATGTTTTATGTTTTGTTTCATATTTGATACATAGCCTACATGGAAAATATATTGTGTGACTTAAGATTATGGAGCTCCACGCGTGGAAGAAACATCACAATTTTATTCAAAGGTCCAAAGAGAGTTAAAATATGTAATAGAAAATAGAAATAGAAATTATTAGATGAAATTCCGATAGCTTGTGATGTAAATCAATTATATTTTTAGAACAGAATAGCAGACTACTTACAAAAAAATGTATATAAATATCAGTTACTCAGTATCTCAAAGTAATGCCTTAAGACGATTTTTAAATTCTGTAAAGCATCTAGTTTTAACAGCTTGGAGGATGTGATACATTTTAACATGATATATGTTAAAAACATATATATATATATATATATATATATATAAAGATGTACAGATAATCAAGTAAACTCAAACTGTTTCTTCAGACCAGTTAAGTACTCATCTTGAACAATTAATAACAATGTAAAAGCTTTTTTTAGTTTGTTTACTTGATTAAAAAAAGAAAAGCTTTACTTGAAGGGAAGGGGGATATTTGTAGAATTGTACTAAAAGGCTTTTTGCTTGCTAAAAAGTATAACCTGTCAATCAGACGTCAGAAGGCATGTAGATTGTGTAAAGCAGGTTTTCTCCATGTTTCGACCATCTTTAGAAATCCATGTATCAAATATGATAGGCTTAAGGATAAGGAATGTTTAACAAAATGTAGAACAACAAAGGCATCTACTCACAACAAAAGTTTGTATTTGAAATATTTATTTGTTGTTGTATGGTATAAAGACCACATTGGATGACACATACATGATCTTGTTGACTCATCCTGGTCAATACAGCAAAAGTTTTAAGCTGTGACCCCGATGCCCCCTTTAACATCTCAACAGCATCCTAACATCTATTGCAACAATTGTTACTTTCCCAATTACCAGAGATTTTAAACAAACATTGTATTAAAACAACCATTAATACACTGGAATTGCCAAATGTGAAGTTATATCCCCAGTAACATTGTTTGTAACAAAAGCAATTTTTCATAATATATACATGACAACAAAAACCCAGCTTTAAATAAAAGTTCAAGAAAGTGAAAGGGTAAGCATCTATTCACCTTTTCCCATTCTAAAGCAACATTTTCAGCTGTTTTTAATTTAAATCTTATCCATCTTAGTTTTTATTTGCATTTTTTGTTTAAACACTCAAACACTTGATTGTTAAGAAACAACCGAAATGAAATATCCTATTTTAGATCCCATAAATATCACACAAACTTTTTGTAATACGGCCACAGATTTACCGTTTATAAATGTTAATAAACATTTCCAAACAGACACCTCAGCCAAAACACACTCTTGTTGATATATAAAGTGATGTGTGTGTGTGTGTGCATATTACATTATTTATATAACATATATTTCCAATATAAGATGAAAAAATATCTAGGTTTTAAAATTTATAGCGAGGGTCAGTATTGTAGTTGATGAAGACAACAAGAAAACAAGCCAATGATAAAATGTGAAATGAAGCAACTTATCACAATGTGGCTGAGAGATTTGGCTGAGTTTCCCAATAACTGTCTATGAAATCTATAGCCATAGCGGAGGTGATCATATTTTTCTGTGAGCTTCAACAGGAGAGGTTCAACTGGTAGGAAGAGGAGGGGACTTGGGATGATAAGGAAGGCGATTTAGCTGACAGACTTGAGCTTGGTCCAGGGGTTAGTGCCACGCACTTCCATAGGAGGGTCATTGTAGAAGATGTGGTTGCAAAGATCATCCAGTGGAGGCTCAGGGTCTGTGGTGGCAAACTGAGCGGCATCTTCAATCTCCTTCCTTACCTCGACATCAATCTCCTGTAAAAGGTGTCAGTGTTTAGTGAAACTGCAGAAATGTCCAACTTCCAGCACAAAGAACTCGCATTCTTCAGCATAATTGAGTAATCCATATCCTTACACACCAATGTGACTGACTCAGAAAATTCACACTCAAGTCAACTGTGACTGTCTCAATGATTGTGTCCTACTTCAGTCTGTCTCTCGTGAGTATGTGCAGTCTCACCTTAAGCTCCTCCACGCTGGCCATGTTGTTGCTCAGCATGCGATCCTTCAGCATCGAGATGGGGTCACTCTTGCTGCGCACCTCCTGGATCTCATCACGTGTGCGGTAACTATGGGAACAGTGGATAGGAAGAGCAAATGTTGTCACATATGGGGAGGAGCACTAATAGAAAAAAAAATTTGGTATATAGAAAAACAATCAGGAGTTGTTTTAACGAGTTTCAGTGTAGAGGTCTTCACAGGTCCACTTAGATCCGAGACCCGAGTGGGTTCGGGTCCAAAACTTTGACGAGTGCCTCGGACACGGGTCGAGGTATTAGTTGCCTCGGGTAATTTAAAATAAATGTGCTTTTTCCAAATGGACCCGATAAAAGCCGATCCCTTTACCGTACCTGCGTGTTGGTGTTAAGTGCATTTTTGAGAAACGCGTAGAAAAAGGAACATATGTTTGTAACCTAGCACACAGAAAGCCATACGGTGCGTCTTCATGATGGGCAGTGCTTTTCTTTTTTGTGTGCAGAATCCCTTCACCGGAGATGAGGTAAATAGCACTGCAGAACAGACAACACTAGCGAATTCCATGATTTATTAGGCTATCGATTAAATTTTTATCGAGCTATCACGTTTATTTTTCCAATCTACTGGTCACAATTGAAAGCCAAACTCAGAAATAAATTGTATCCATCAGGCAGGTAATAATATAAAGTAATAATAAATTAAATAAATGTTAAATAAATCAAAAAGGAGAAGCTGCCAAATCAGTCAGCAGGACACCGGGATTTTTCTTTACTGACTGCGGGGCTGCAGGCTGTGCACACGTCAATGCATTTACGTTCGGGTCCAGTCGTGTTCTAAAATAAATGAAATCAGGTCGGACTCGTGTCTAATTTCATCGGGTCTGTCTCGGGTCGGGTTTTTCTTTTAAAAAAATAATAATAATACACGTTGGGTTTGGGTAAGAAGTGATTCGGGTCGGGTACAGATTTTAGGACCCGAGAAGACCTCTAGTTCAGTGATAGTAAGTAGAGCTATGCCAAATACACTTTTTTTTTTTTTTTTTTAAGAAATTGATCCTTTTATTCAACAAGGACAGATAAAATGTATCAAAAGTTACAGTAGAAACATTTATAATGTAACAAAAGATGTCTATTCCAAATCATTTTGAATTTTCTGTATCATCTTTTCGACAAATTATTTAGCTTTAGCAATACAACTGTTTTAAACACTGAATAAGAAATGTTAAAAAATAAGAAATGTTTCAAGAGCACCAAATCAGCATATTAGAATGATTTCTGCAGGATCATGTGACACTGAAGACTGAAGTAATGGCTGATGAAAATTCAACTTTGCCATCACAGGAATAAATTACATTTTAAAATATATTAAAATTGAAAACTTATTTTAAATAATAATAATATTTTACAATATTACTGTATTTTAATCAAATAAATGCAGACTTGGTGAGCTTAAGAAACTTTTTTCAAAAACAAAAAAAAACATCTCACTGACTCCAAACATTTGAATGATAAAGTATGTTACCCAGTTTGAATAGTAAAGCAGTTTAGCTATAAAAGCACATGTATTTCAGTTACTAGAATGTGTCGTTCACTGTATAACGAAGACCTCTTGTACCTACGCTCTTGTCTAAATATAATCCAGGAAGACTGCTTGCTGCTCAACGCAATGGTGAGCTTTGGTTGAGATTATATAAAATATTACCTGACTCCTGGGTCACTCATACTGTGTCCATGGTAACGATAGGTCTGCAGCTCCATCAGAATGGGACCCTATGAATATAAATTTCAGGTGTTTTATTATTGCTACATAACTGCTTGTATCCTATGAGCATATCTGCAAACAGAAAACATTTTATAAGTAGTTTAACGATTATCTATTATTCTTTCGCTGCCGCTGTGGAATTGCCCATATAAATACGGTGCATAAAACACATATTCAAATATCATACTTCCCAACAGAGCTAATAATATTTTGACATCACTCTAACCAGAGCTCACCTTTCCTGATCTGCAGTGTTCAGCAGCCAATTTGGTGGCCTCCCTTACACAAAGAACATCCATGCCATCCACCTACAATGCCAGAGAAAAGGTAAGAAGATATTCTGACATAAAGAGTAAATTCAGGCCCAAGTAAAAGCACGACGAAGTGTCCATCCTGCATGATACCCTCAATCCAGGGATGAAATCGCCTCTCTTGTAATAGTCAGTACTAGCGGCTGCTCTCTCCACAGAAGTACCCATGCCGTATTTGTTATTCTCGCAAATGAAGATGCAGGGCAGCTTCCACAGAGATGCCATATTATACGTCTCAAAGATCTGACCCTGCAGAAACAGTGCAAAAGTATGTGTGAAACCTCCCTGTACAACCACTGCTACAGACCCATCATAATGCACAAGTTAGAAGGTAAGGTAAAGCAGTACATGGACAGATCTGTGTGAAATGTTATTAGCAAGTAGCTAAATCAGTCATTAGGCTTGTAGCGGGTGAACACTTGACTGTTGCGCAGAAGTGACTTACCTGATTTGCAGCACCATCACCATAGAGACAGACACACAGCTCATTCTTGCCCAGGTATTTGCAGGCCAACGCTACACCTGCCCCAAGAGGCACCTGGGATACAAGTGTGAAATATAAAGTTATTTTTAATACTTAATCAGTACTGATACCAGCTCTCTATTCATAAGGGACTCCAGTCGATTCATTTAACGTACCTGAGCTCCCACAATTCCGTTTCCTCCATAAAAATGTTTAGTGTACATATGCATAGACCCTCCCTTTCCTTTAGCAATACCTCCTCTACGGCCTGATGGAGAAATAGAGACACATAGAAGAGGGATAGAATAAACAAACAAACAAATAAAAAAATAAAAGAGATATATTTGTAAGAGATCACAACTTTAAACTTTAATCGGTTTTGTTGTTCTCACCTGTGAGCTCTGCCATGATCTCACGAACGGTGCCCCCTCTAGTGAGAGTGTACCCGTGGGCACGATACGCTGTGATAAGATGATCTGATAGATTAATACCTGCCTCAATACCGACCGCACACGCTTCCTGTTAGAGGACACAATGTACTTGTAAGTGTTTCTGTCTCCACCAAGTTGTCAACATTTGAACCAATTACAAATGACGCTTGCAACCATGTGAATCAAAACATATAATAATATTAAATTTGACTATTTTGCACTGGCAAAAGTGAGTGCTTAGAAATGAAAGAGTCTCTGATAATCTTCTGCTTGTAAATATGATGTCTGTGTGTTTGCAGTGCATGTGGCACCTGTCCATCATAAAGGTGACAGAAGCCCCTGATGATCTTCTGCTTGTAGAGCTGATCGGCTTTGAGCTCCATGCGTCTCATGGTCTGCATTGTGCGGTAGTACTGAAGCCCCTCCTCTCTTGAAAGCACGGCCTGCAGTGGTGGGCCTTCCTCCAGCTTGTGTAAGTCACATTTCTGCCAAAAAATGTAAAATAAATAAAAGCTTTCAAATGCATTAAGATACAGTAAAATGCACAGTAAAAAAGTTCAAAAGCTTGGGGTCAGTAAGATTTTTACTGTTTTCGAAAGAAGTCTGCTCACTAAGGCCCACTCATTTTTTTCAGAAATAAAGTAAAACAGTAATATTGTGAAATATTATAACAGTTCAAAATTAGGGTTTTCTATTTTAATATATTTTAAAATGTAATTAATTCCTGTGATGGAAAAGCTGAATTTTCAGCAGCCATTACGCCAGTCTTCAGTGTCACATGAGACTTTAGAAATCATTCTAATATGCTGATTTGGTACTCAAAATATATATATATATATATATATATATATATATATATTTCTTAGTATCAATGTTGAAAGCAGTTGTGCTGCTTAATATTTTTATGGAAACTGATACATTTTATTAATTTCTTTCAAAATATAAATATCTTTAAAAAAAAAATTACAGACTCCAAACTTTTGAACGGTAGTGTATATGCACTCAAATATATATTACATAATAAATTAAGTAACTGCTGATCTGATCAACTCACCTTAATATCAAAGGTGGCCTGAGGGGTAAAGTCTGCATAGGTCCTGGCAGATACCACCACTCTTGCACCCTATGAAACATAAATAATAACAGAAAATACATTTAAAAAATCCTCTACAGAGAAAATGAGTGAAGATGGTAAAAAAAAAAAATAGTCACATGGAAACACAGACACACACACACATCTGACAGGAACTGAGATGTTAATATCAACCATCAATAGCAACATTGATAACATCAATATGTCAAAAGCACTATGTCTGAAACAGGAAGCAAGCCAGGGGACAATGAAATATATCTGTAATAATCCGACGTACATAACCACTGCAATTTTACCCAACAACTACATCAACAAACCTGCAATCTAATACCAATAAACCAACACTTAGGCCTAGATGTGGAAAACTGACACAGTGCATGTTATCATCTACACTGACTTTGCACATATCTTTGATTATAGGGTTGGATGTAGAAAACTGAAACATCACAAGGAATCCATCCACAATTAGATGTGGGACCAACATGCTGAGTACTTTAACAGATCTTTTGCTTCAGGTATTTAACAATAACAAAGAACGAATAAAGTTTGTAGAAAAAAAATCTGTTTAGTGATTGAAGAGTCATTGGCCGAAGGATTGTGAGCTGGAAAATTCAAGTGCTCTGGGAAAAGTGGAAGGGGCATGCAATACTCCATAAGGAGGGTTAAAAATAATTTTAAGCTGTGTATATGAAAGAGGCAGTGTATTTTAATATAGGGGCTGCCAGTACTCACAGCAAGCTGTGGCTCTGGTAAGGGAGTCTCTTCAGCCAGGCTGTGGGTGATCTCTGGGAAGGAATTATCAAGGCCCAGGAGGCTCCTGGCTGGTGGGGGACAATTGGACGCAAGGGGGTCTGTGCTGGTTAGGGTAAAACTAGGGCTGTGACGATAACCGCATAACCGCGGTAATTTGATGCCGACCGCGGTGTTGAGGTCTTCACCGCACTTTTTTTTGGTAGTAAAAGTTACAGAAGTGCATATGGTGTGTGATATGAATTATAAACAATAATCATTGTTTGTCAATTTACTGTCTTCCGTCTCAGGGGCGCCTGCAGGATTTCTTCCAAGGGTATGCACAGAGTTTTTGTTTTTTTGGTGGTGTTCTGCACGAATGAACAGTGAGAGCAGAACGAATGTGTCACACGTTTTAAACTCAACAAAATGGTAAAATGCATATATCAATAGCATGCTCACAGATGAAAACAACAGGGATTAGAGCCCTGCACGGGCTTCAAATATAGGCCCGAGACTGTCTTTTTCCCCCTTCTCCCAAAACAGCTAATACAACTGTTTCAGCTATTAAAATAGTTCAGTTTTGTATGTAATGGAAAAGTGATTATATTTCGTTTTCGTTATTAATAAAGTTAATTTAGAAAAACGTTTGGAGCATTTTTTTGTTC